CTTGCCACAAAATCACACTCATGCATTAAACACCTAAATAGTTGCATATTAGGGTAGCATTGTCATTGGAACTCAAAAAGTAATTGCATTTTTTTAAATATGGAAAATTGGAGTGCAAAATGACTTTTGAAGTACCAATAACAGCAACACTAGGTACTATTTTGAAAGCATATTTATTGGGACCAAATTTTTGCACTACTGTGTTGGGATGAACAGTTGTCGAAAATGTGCGACAAAGTGCAAACAATCATGAAGGCTTGGCATCAATGTGGTATCGCCTAAAGATTCTTTGACGATCAAGTATATAACGAAGTATAGAATTCAAGCAATGTGTTACTGAGCAAAATTCATGGTCCCACAATATTGAACGAATAATGGATCATTCAATATATATTTGTAAAAATTGTTTGGCACTCCTGAATTTTCAGTGATCATTTGATTGTTATTGTGTTGGGTTGACATTGAATTAGGCTCAGGGTCAACAAATTCATTTGCCTCGGTAACATAATCACTGGGAAGAGTGCTCGGTATGACATGTATGCGTTCTTCGGGTTTCGGTCAAGCAACAACTGGACAATTACAACACAATCAAATCATGCTTTGAATATTACAACAAAAAATATAATGTGACTCAAACCGTAAGTGATAATTAATTTCATTGCATACTTTGTGTCTGGATGTGGACAATTTTTCTTGCCAACGTTGCGTCTCTAATATTGACTTCACTTCTCTTTAGTACTTGTTTTCGACGCCCCTTTTCTTTTAACTTGAAGGGATCTTGAAGCATTTCGATTTAAGAACTCATGTCTCTCTCTTCAGTTTCTTTTCTTTTCCAACCACGATTACCACCAAGCAAAGAGTTGAGTTTCGTATCCAAGGATTTCAAAGTTCGGGACAGAAGTTCACTATCTTGTCAATCAACTCTGAAGTTTTTCTTGAAAATTGAGCTTTTTTTTACACGGTAGAGTTGTCGCTGTCTTTGCTCACTTCTTTCCTTTCCGTGTCCAACACAATGCCGGCTTTGGCGATTTGAGGTCTCCTTTTAAGAATGTAATGTTTTAGCAGTAACCCTATTTGTTTCATTCTCAAAAAGGCCAATATCTGCCAACAAGAGACTCCTCGAAACTCCATCTCTTTGCAGTTGTATTTAGCATAACCCGACATCGTATCAACCACTAACCTCTTCATCTTTGTCACCCCTATAGGTCTCTAATGCACTTTGTATAGTGCCTCATTCCCAGCACCCGACTTTTCCCTCGATAAACAAGTCAAACTCTTTAATTCCTCCACTTGAACTTTTCGAACATAAACCGTGTAAACAATTTGGTCATTTAAGCTTAATTGGGGTGGGAAGCTGCAATGAAAGGGCACGATTTTCATCACAATGTTCACCAAATCACGTATTTCTGATGTTGCCGTCCAAGTACTTAATTAAACTGAATAATGAATTCAATCAAAGAGTGTTTTCTATGCATATATTGCTATATATATATAAAGGAACGAGAACTCTCCGCACGTATTCCTATGCACATACTGCTTGACATTCTGATGGAGAAAACATGCTTACAAAATGCCAGAACTCAATTTGCATGCAACTTATAAATGTCCTCAAGCCACTCTTTATCAACTAACTTATGTTTGTAACATCCCACATCGCCCAGGGAAGTGGATCATGTAAGCCTTATATGTATATTCCCATCTTTACCTAGCACGAGACCTTTTGGGAGCTCACTGGCTTTGGAGTTCATCGGAACTCTGAAGTTAAGCAAGTTCGGCGAGAGTATTCCCAGGATAGGTGACCCACTGGGAAGTTCTCGTGTGAGTTCATAGAAACAAAATTGTGGGGGCGTGGTTGGGGCCCAAAGCGGACAATATCGTGCTACGGTGGAGTCGAGCCCAAGATGTGGTGAGGGTACGGGTCAGGATGTGACAATTTGGTATCAGAGCCAACCCCTAACCGGATGTGTGCTTATGAGGACGTCGGGCCCCTAAGGGGGTGGATTGTAACATCCCTCATCGCCCAAGGGAGTGGATCTTGTAAGCCTTATATGTATATTCTCATCTCTACCTAGCACAAGGCTTTTTGGGAGCTCACTGGCTTCAGAGTTCCGATGAACTCCAAAGTTAAGCGAGTTCGAGCGAGAGCATTCCCAGGATGGATGACCTACTAGGAAGTTCTCGTGTGAGTTCCCAGAAACAAAATAGTAAGGGCGTAGTCGAGGCCTAAGCGTACAATATCGTGCTACGATGGAGTCAAGCCTGGGATGTGGTGGGGGCCTAGGCTGGGATCTGACAATGTTTTTCTACCAACCCCTTCTAACTTGCCTCAAATTCTTCTTTGCTTTCGATATCCCATATGCACTTATGCAAATCCTTGGAAACATTTTCAACCCAGCCATTGTCATTGAACTTGTTAATAATATATCATATGTAGGACTGATGAAAGGTGGTTGGTAGTTTATTGCCAACAACCTTTGCTATGGTTGCATTTTGATCTGTAATTACGAATTTCGATAGCTCACCCGCCAAAGCTTTAAGCATTTTTTCAAACAACCACTCAAAGCTCTTGGTTTCTTTATTTTTCAAGAATGCACAACCAAAAACCGTGGTTTGACCATGGTTATTAACTCTTAATAAAGGAGCAAACATCATCTCATATGCATTGGTGTTGAAAGTGGTGACAAACACAATTACATCACCAAAATGGATGTAAGCATGTAGGGACTTAGGCATCTGTCCAAAAGAAATTGACAAGTGTTCTGCCTTTGTCAATCTCCATCTTGAAATAGAATGAATCGTTTTTCTATTTCTCATCCTCAAAATGCTCTTTCAACATTTCTGCATCTTGAAATAGATGATCTCGTAATTGTTGTTCAACGCTATACATATTCGTGGGGGTGCAACCAATATTTTCAATTCCTCCTGTTTGCATATCCAATAAATCCACTTGTTTACTTATGAAAATATTGGCCTATAGATATTGTTCTCATTGCCTTCTTTGTCCCGAAACCCGACGTTATGATCTAAATAAGTGTGACGCACTTGACATTAGGTGGTTGTGTCCTTCATTGAAAAATGTTACAGAAATATTTTCACAACCAATTCCCTTATTCAGCTCAATTTTCATCTTACAGTTAGTTCTAGCATCTCCCCTTCTACCTTTCTTATTAGGTTTTGGATTAGCATCTACCATCTTCTTGCCTTGTTTGCAACAAACAAATTCTTTCCTTAACCAACATTCATCATCACTGGACTGTTTACTACTATGCTCCAAACCGCTGCAAGTGCATAATTGTTGTAAAAGTATAGCCTTCATCCAATGACTCAAACTTCATTTTCAATTTTGATTTCAATCATCGTCCACCATTGGAAAAATTAATTCAACCATCCTTGCACCATATTCGTCCCCTACACCAGAATGATCCCACTATATTTACATCCTCCTTTTTCATCACAATTTCGTCTATTTCTAACTCATCCCCTATCGAATTACACTTCTATGTCTACTTGCTACAAATCTATACAACTACAACACAATTTAACACAACCCATCACAAGTTTTGCATCTATATATCTAAAATCCAATTTCACGATTTCAACCAAGTCTAGTGGTAACCACCCACCTTTATGGATTCAAATCCTAAAATTATAAATACCAAATTGGAATGGAAATGGATTATAACAGAAGTTCTGGATTACTTGAAAGATTGACCATCACAATCTCGGTTCCTTCAGAGCTTCTGGATGAACCACCATTGTCCACAACCCAGACACAACTTCAATCCATACCAATTCGAGCGCTCACACCCCTCACCAGCTCCCTCTCTATGCCTCTCTTTCCTTGCAAAGACAACCTGAATCTCTCTCTCTCTCTCAGCAACAAAAACACACCTAATAAACTAAAAAAATAAAATAAAATAAATGTACAAGATTATTGGATCACAGCTGCAACATACCTTCACTCTAGTTGAAATCGATTCCTTACCCCAACTCCCTCTCCCAGCTATTCCTCTCTCTTTGACAAAAAAACACACCCAGTGAACAAAAAAGAAATTAAAGGTATAAGATTTACGGGGTCCCAATCAATCTACTTGAAATCGAATCGTCCTTCTCTTGACTAGCTCCCTTTCTCTGCCTCTCTTTCTCGGCAAAGACAACCTTAACCTTTCTCTTGGTGAAAAAAATCACATCCAATGAACAAAAAAAATAAAAAAAATAAATAAAGGTATAAGATTACCGGGTCACAGTCCCAACGCACCTTCAATCCAGCTGAAATCGATTCCTCACCCCAACTTCCTCCCTCCACCTCTCTTTCCCTCTTCAACGCGCCAAAATCCCTCAGCTACCCGCTTCCTCCTTTCTCTCCAACCAAAAGATATCCAGTGAATAATTTTTTTTTTAATTGCACCGGGCCACAACAACAACCCGGTTCTACCGTGAGCTCAGCAAATCATGACAGTTCGATTTCCATATGCAAGGTCCCTTTTTTAGGTCCGCCCCTTAGAAACACCCATTCTAGGATTGGCATCATGTTCAAGAACGAAGACAACATTTTTCAGTTTCACTTCACGTGAGCTTTGATACCATGTAAATACGTAGATGGAAAATATATGGGGGTAGGTAGAAAGGACAGATTTTTTGGTCCAGATATTTTTGTAAGGTAATGAGCACGTAAGGTCTGTTTCTAAGGTCCACCCATACTGAAATTGGCATCATGTTCAAGAACAACGAAGACAACGGATTTTTCATTTTCCCGAGCTCTGATACTATGTAAAAATAGAGGGGGAAAATATAAGGAAAGTAGGTAGAAAGAACACGGATACTGGTTCGTTTTGTTGGTCCAGATAACTTTTATGGTAACGAGACAAAGGGTCCCAAGCATGTCCCCGACTCTTTTGCCACATCTAAAATTAAAAGGGCATTGTACTCGTGTGAACAGTTGAGTCGCAAGTCGTATCCTTTCAATTTTATGGTATTAGTTAACGTCACGAATTAATATTTGATTAGACTCTCTCTCTCTCTCTCCCCTCTCCAGTGCTTGTTTTGTTGAGTTTTTGTTTTGCATTTTCACCCTGGTCTCTCAGTTGATAGTTGAACTGAAGCAAATGGATTATGCGCTTGTTGGGTCCTTCCCCAAAGCATCTTTAGGTATTGCGATTTCAATTTACAGAAAATAATTAGAATTAGTTCTCTGCTTTCTCTGGTTCTTGAGTTGATGGCTCTGATTATTAATTTATTTTCTTATTTTCTTATTTTCTTTGTAATTAGTAATGGTTTCAGATCTTCAAATGCTGGGTTATTTGTTAATTAATTAATTTATTTAATTTTGTGCTGTTGGAGGTATTTACCATCTGGGAAAATCATCTTGTCGAAAGGTTCTTTCTTTTTTAGTGTATGGAGTCAGCAGACTGAAATAATTTATATTACTCATCTGTGTCTTTTTTTATTTTTTATTTTTGAACAAACGATATTATCTATACTGAGCGCCCTCAGTGTGTGCGGTTGTGTGTTTCTCCCAGTTACCATCTATGGCACAAAAATTGAAAACGAAATGGTTATGAAACGGGCCCTTACTGTTTGGTTGTGAGTTTCTGCTAATTGAACTGCTTAGTGTGTTTTCTGATGCATTATCCGAATTCATAGGTAGTAGCGTTTGGAGAAGGGACAATCCCAACAAGAACTACTTTTCAGGTATTGCTGGTCCCACATAACATCTAATCTCCCTTTAAATTTTCAGCGATGAAAATTTCGTATTGTGATTCCATACGTGCGTATGCTCGCCAGCATGGTTCATGTGATTGAAATGTGGCCTTAGTGTAAATAATTGTAGTACTGTTTGAAGACATCTTAGTCATCAATGTTTGTCGGTAACCGTGCAGCATTGCTGTGTTGAGATCTGTAATATTCCATTGAGAGAGCTTTCTTCACTGTCATATTAACTTATAGATGCCCATTTCGATTGAAGTGTGGGTTGCTTACGCTTTATATCTTAGTCGGGGTTACATATGGCTGGAAATTTTGAAAGGCAAAGTGGTGATGGAGGTTTTTATTAGCTTTGAGAAACGAATTCAAATTACATTGAAGTGTAAGGGCTCCTAAACATTCAGATTCCAAGATAAATCCATAACTCGTTAGTTTAGGATTCTGATTGGTGAACCCAAAGTGGGCCAACTGATTCATGTTTTCCTATATGAAAGAAAAAATTTACCTCACAGTCAGAATTCTGTGTATTATTGATATGGTGCATCACTTAGCAATGTATTGTGCAATCTACTCTTCTTATACTTAGCTTATCCAAATGTAAGAAACGGTAAGACAGTAAGCTTCAAACTCTCATTTGATATGAAAAGTGATGTATGATTTGCCTTTCTCACTCCTCCATGTTGACAACTTTTTGTCACCCCGATCTTTGTGCTTATAGGTTCATATGTAGCAGTCAGGGTTTCAAGGTGCAAAGCATGGGACGTCCTAGAAAGATACTGTGGTGCTGGATCTCAGCAACATCTTTTGAAGCGTCATACCATAGGCACTAAGGAAAAGTCTACATTCTACAGGAGGCATGATAAAAAGTTCTTGGTGAATGCTACTGCTGGCCACCCTCTTGAATCCGAACCTGATACTTATAATCCAAAAAGCATATGGAACTCTATCAAAAATGGTGTAGATGCTTTTTACAGGTTTTCAAGGCCGCACACAGTTATAGGCACAGTTAAGTTTTTAACAGAATCATCATCACCAATCTTGACATTGTCCCATTTAGCTTGTTGACATAGAACTCCCACTAATATATGCTTGTGATTAGTAGTGAGTGGAAATCACTTAGGATCGTTACTGTTATATTTTTGTCCTTTACTTTGATGTTTAAAATTGATTTAGAGAGCTCACCAAAGTTTTTCTCTAAGCAGGCATTGAGCATAATGTCAGTTTCTCTCCTTGCAATCGAGAATCTGTCTGATTTCTCTCCATTGTTTTTCACGGGGGTGCTGGAGGTGATGCCTCTGAAAACTCTTGATAACCTTGAAAGATTACATGGGTACAGTCGTCATTGCTATTCTCACACACTGTCTTTTGTTTTTCAGGCTGTAGTTGCTGCTCTGTTTATGAATATTTATATTGTTGGTTTGAATCAGTTGTCTGACATCGATATAGACAAGGTAGGTTTGTCAATTTTCTGGTAGCATTGAATGATTGGGAATAAGAATTCCATTACGCTGATTCGACTGGTAGAATTCCAGGATAGGCTCTTTTATTTACATGGAAGATTTGTGAATTGTCTAATTGTATAGTTGTATTGCATGTTATGTTGCAGGTTAACAAGCCTTATCTTCCATTGGCATCGGGGGAATATTCAATTGGAACTGGCATCATGATTGTGACATCTTTCCTAATTATGGTATCAAAAGTAGTGTGGAATACATATATACCTAACTTTCGCATTTATTTTACACCTTTTGATAATTCCTTGCCTTTTGCTTTTCATTCCTTTTCGATTATAGAAGAGAGATGTGAGAAACATAAGGAGGTGAGAAAGAAAAGATTGAGAATATAAAAAAATCAAACTGTCTCTACATCTGAATGCTACCAAATTACTAGTACAGGAATACCTTAATTTACATGGAAAATCAGAACTAAGAAGAGCTGCTATTCTCAGTCTTACTGTACACTTCTATTACAACCATCTGTACGGAATTAAAATTTACCATGAATTCATTTCCACCATGTACATTCTTCATGTACTAGATATGTTGTTTCTTTTATTTGATACCTATTTTTTTGTTCAATTTTCTTCTTGTGCTGCCAACTATCATCACGTCTTCACGACTTGAAACTTCGGTACTAATAAACCTGGCCTTGTTATTTCAATTGAAGGGGTAAAATTTAAAGGTAAATAAAACTAAGCAAAATGGGATTAGAAGTTCAATATTTACTTGGTGTCTGGATTTCTCATCAAGTGTAATCATATCTCAAACATTTTATATGCTTTTGTTATAATTTAAATTGAAGAAGATACATGTCTCATTTCAACACATTCTGATTATAACCGTTATTTTCTACAGAGCTTTTGGCTAGGATGGGTTGTTGGTTCATGGCCATTGTTTTGGGCCCTTTTCATCAGCTTTGTACTTGGAACTGCTTATTCAATCAATGTGAGTTGGCTTGCTCGTGTATAATCATCTTATTGACGTTCCTTAAATAGCTGTTTTGGGAAAGCATATGTCACTCATGACAGCCAAACTGATGAAAGTTTAAGAGTATTATCAGTTCATAGAATACTGAAGGCTGAACTTAAGTATTTAAAATTTTTCCATGTAAATCTAGCAATTGTACTAATCTGTAAGCCAGAACTGTCAAGTGAGTGGATGCAGGTGGTCTTTTAGAGGACAAGTGCTCCCTCTCTCCCGAACAAAAAAAGAAAAAAATAGAAAAAAAACGACAGAGAAAAATGAATTTTTAACATAGCCATGATCATCGTTACGCATTGCATGTTCCTTGCACAAGAAGCATGTGCATAGTCCTTCGTCGAGATGTATTTATCTGGAACTATATGCATTATACACATGATGAGTGTGCAGATGTGATTAGAAGAAAGTAGGGTATGTTGGACGAGTAAATTGGGTGAACGACCAGACTATTGTTAATTGTGAAATATATTAATTACAATTGTTTAAGTACTAAGGGTTTGAGATTTCTGATAAGATAGTTGGGAAATAGGGTTTCCTTGACAATGGTATGGATGATTTTCCTAGTGACATGTTGACCAAACGTTCATCCTATTCATTTTCATATAAAATGCACTTACCACCACATTGTAATACTGCGTGGGTTTGAAGCAAACCTGGCGCAACAACATGGATCTTGGTTATTCTGTTGTTGAGAATTTCCTTTCAGAGCTTATAGATGCTTATTTAATATATGAATATATTAAATACAATTGTCTCTAATATGGTTTTTGAATCTTTTATACACTCAGTTACCACCATTGAGATGGAAGAAATCTGCTGTAGTTGCTGCAATGTGCATCCTAGCTGTTCGGGCGGTGATAGTCCAAGTTGCTTTTTTCCTGCACATGCAGGTTTGTTAGTTTCTATGAAGAAATCAATTTATAGCTTCCAATTGTTTCATTCTCTCAGAAAATACTTGAGTTTTGCAATATGTTTTCCACATTGATGGGTATTTTGCCATCATAAATTGATTCTTTAACATCACCGAAAGATATCACTGTCTCGTGTCTGATGGAGCAATAGTTGTCAGTGTCCAATTCAGTGCCTGCAGCACAAACATGTCTGCATGTTCACACACATCAGACGGCTGTGAGGACAATTGTTATGAACGGGAAATACTCGGATAAACTACTTAGTATTGTAATTGATTGATCATCTTTGTCATGTAGTCGGGGGCGCTCTCAGTGGTTGGGTTCTAATTTATCTAACGATTCCCAGGTGCACGTGTACAAAAGACCAGCTGCCTTCTCTAGGCCCCTAATCTTTGCAACTGCATTTATGAGCTTCTTCTCAGTTGTTATAGCATTATTTAAGGTAAAACCTTTTCTTTTTGTTCATTTCAATTAGAACTGTAATAGATCTACTTTAAAACTTTGTTTTGTCGATATGCGTTTGCTATTATTTTAATTCATGAAGTTCGTATGATAATAAAGGATGATGATCAATTATATTCATACCGTGAAATCATGTAGGACATACCTGATATTGAGGGAGATAAAATATTCGGCATCCGATCTTTTACAGTACGCATGGGGCAAAAGCGGGTAACCTTTTAACACATGCATATATACAGATATTCATAGATATGTAATCTACGTCAGACTTTTAAGTTGATTAGCAAACATATATTGTTTGATTCTAATTATCTTTGGGCAGGTCTTTTGGATTTGTATTTCGCTACTTGAAATGGCTTATGGTGTTGCCGTTTTAGTGGGAGCATCATCTGGCTTCATGTTGAGCAAATGCATCACGGTAATGTTCTAGTTTCTAAATCTAAACGGTAGCAGTGTTACCCAATCTTCACTACTTCCGTGTTATTGAATGGTTCAGTTTCTCCTTTCTCTATAATTTTTGAATTATACATGTCTAATTCTAAAGGAAATACAAAAGTAGTGATAAGCTTGCTAACAGAAATAGTTGGTTATGTTGTGAAGTTTAGGTGTCCCTCTCTAAGGATTCTTAAAATTCTACTGATCGCTCGTTAACTTGAATCTCTGATTCTTACCTGTTGGCTTCCTTCACAAATGCAAACATTGTAAGAGTTGAACTGTTAAATGAGGCCACTTCAGTTTGTAGTGTACATAGGGGCAGTATGGCTTGTGAATTCATTCTTCATGTGTTCGGTTTTACATGAGAACGAGCGTTGGTCTTAAATTCTGAAGAGAAGTTAATAATCTTTTGGGGAACCTTGAGTAGGTTTTGATAATCCCTTCTTACAATTGAATTTTTGTTCAGATACTAGCATCCGAACAATGTGCCAAGAAGGGAGATTGATTTCTTCTATATTTGCATTGGTTTAGGTTTTGGGACATGCAATTTTGGCTTCGGTACTGTGGAACAGGGCCAAATCTGTCGATCTCAACAGCAAAGCTGCAATCACAAGCTTTTACATGTTTATATGGAAGGTAAATGCTTACCACCACTATTGAATGCAATTGCGGTAGAAAAAAGTATATCAGAAACCAAAAGTTGAACCATCCAAAAAAAACGCATGTATTGTTGAGAATGTATCCCGCATTTATGGGAGGAAGAGCCTTGCATGTCACCATCCAAAATTCTTTAGAATACGCAGCTTTTGAATGCATCGAACAGTTTGCATTCCAATAGCAAAAGAATGTATCACATGATTTGGAAGACAATTTGCTCATCAGTTTTTCTGTCGACATCTTACATATGTTCCACACGCTAATTCAAGTCCGCAGATTGCTGTTCATAATATCGTCATTGGTTGCTTTATCTTTCTCGTGGGCTAACATTTGTTCAGGCATGACAAATGCCTATATTCCTGGAGATGAGAAATTCCTCAAAAAATCATTTAGTAAAACCATTGGTTTGTATGGTCTTGAAATTGGACTCCGTCTGGAGGCTCCCAAACTAAGACCGATTTCCGGCTTTACTTGTTTCTAAATACCGTTGCTACTGTAGTTGCCGATTTTATGGATTGTACGTAATTTGTAGGTGATTTCTTTCATTTTGTCTAAATTCCAATATGGTATTACTTGTAATTCATTTGTTTGTTCTTCTTGCAGCTGTTCTATGCAGAGTACCTACTTATACCGCTTGTTAGATGACGATTGCAACTTTTTTCGGAGTCAAGGTTGCCTTCATAAACTTAAAGGGTGAAAATCAACTGCTGGTAGGTGGAATTTGAGAATACAATTAGGAAACTTATGAGTGCATCCAGTGACTGCATTCGTTTATCTGCATTTGGTACTCTGTTATTTCCTTGGTACATTATGTCACCCTCCTGGACTGGATTCCTGGAATTTTTTTAGGAACAAGAGAGAACATTGATCTAGCATGTTGCATACACAAGATAATGCACTCGACTCGTCTGGAGCCTTTTTTGCATATCGATTGAAATGTCGGAATGATTTGCTTTACATGCATCAACACACTTTTGATCTTTCCTGCGATTGTACGCGACACACGTTTCATACTTGTTGAGTAATAGCAATGAGATTCCCCAATATCATGCTAAGAATAGCTAGGATTTCCAGAAGAAGATGTCATTCTTTTGTTGAGAAATAAAAAGGAATATAAAAAATTTGAGTGGCTGAAGCTGAAGCAGCTACTTTCGAAGACACATTTCGTTGCACCGATTCACAAATGTTGTCCTTGGGTCTCATAGTCAAAACCATCATAGTAATAGCTACATACACGAATGGAAATCAGCAGTATGTCGGAAAGTACACCATTATTTAATTTGTGATTCATGTAAAAAACTTGGGGTGTGGGTAGGTTTAGACACTCCAGGCTGCAGACAATCATATGAATGTGTTTGTGTGAACCCTTTGATTAAAACCTTTTGTGAGTTATGTTAATGCTCAAAATTTGCAAGTTGACAAATTAAAACACTAAACCTTTGGTGGGCTTGGGATATGGACTAAAATGAAATGGACTCAAAAATTCATGTTGTTCACCCCTCAAAAGTGGGTTATATTCACTGTGTTGCTTGGATCATATTTGATTTAAGACTAAAAATAGTGCTCGACTAAATACATGAATTCTCTATCCTTTTAGTCGTCTGATCACCTTACAAGAGGTTCCCACCCCATTACATAGGACCTCACTGAACCTAGAGGCCTTGCGCTTACCCCCTTTCACTTGGCATTTAATACGCAACTTATGTAGACTAGTATGTTGACACCTTTTTACCCATTAGTTGGACATTATTTAGTGAACTTACATATGCCTAGTCGATATTGCACGCCTTTTTAGAGTTTTGCATGCTAAGTGTCCCGCTCTACTTTGGTTATCCAACCTTGATTTTCTGAGCGTTGTCTCGACCACCTTTAAGTCCCATCTTAGGCCTTTGCTCCTGACTATGAATCACCACATGGCCAGATTGACGTCTGAGTAGACTTGCTCCTAAACACTTATGCTACAACATTGTTGGTTTTCCCACGTGCCTTTGGTGATCAGAAAACATTTTATATTACCTAGTCGTAGGTTGTCGATTCTAGTGCTTGGGAGCAACTTTTCCTAAACCCTAAATGCCCAGCATTAATAAGTCTCGTAACTCCTTTGTCAAGGGTCCCTTCTTGGGCATGGAATTGCAATGCCCGGTCGGCACACCAAATAGTGCTCGGTTGGAAAGGGACAAGGATTGTCTGTCCTACCACTTTCAGTGCCCTCCCGTGCCCTCCTGTTGATGTGGTCACAGTTAAGCCACATCAACATTTTATATTACTATTCATTTTTGTCTTATTATCTCTATAAAAAAACAATATAAAATGTTGACGTGGCTTAATTGTGACCACACAAAACATGAGAGCATAACAGGGCACCGGAAGTGGGAGGGCAGACAATCCTTGTTCGGTTGGAAAAAATGTTTTGGATGTTCTTGTCCCACCGTTCCATCAGGCGCTTGATTTTATCTCGTCTGTGCCCTTGGCAGCGCAGAGGCGGGAGACGTTTAAGTGCTCGATAAACGTGCCAACGACAAACTGGCAGAGTAGACAGGCGTGGCCACATGCACTGTGATGTCACTTCATGTCCTTTTAGCTCTCAAAGCAAAGTAAATGGGATGCCATGTTCCACAATCTTGCGACTTAGACGCCCCATTATCAACGATTGAAATCACACGCTTGAGGCTATGTAAACCTCCCCTGTCACAACTTATTCCCCTGATCTCACTTTCTCTACTAAAACTCTACCAATTTTCCTTCGCGATTCTTCCGGTTTCCTAAAACCGCCTTTTTGCAATTTTACATCCTCACTGTCTTCTCTTCAGGTAAATTTCTCTCCCTTTACTCCTAATATTTTCATGGATTACTGAAAGCATGTCTTTGTACTTGCTTATTCTCATAGTGGAGTTCAAATCCTCGGTCACCGCTAGGGTAGACTTCCCTTAGTAAACATGATATGGTAGACTTCCTTGACATAGGTAAAGAGCAGGTTGCCTAGAATACGTCACTTGACTAAGCACTCGCTCACCCGAGCACATGCACCTTAATTTGTAGAGATTCTCTCCTTTAAGTTTTTGAGATCACAACGCTACTTGAATATACGCTTTAGGCTCGAAAAGTAACAACCAAGAAGTCTATGAATACGAACAGTCAGTCGTCAGCGACACAACCAGTTCTACCGACTCTCTTTCAACACATTCTGTCATGGAATCAACTTCATACTTCTCTTTCTCATGTGTTGCAAATAATTTCACTCTCCTCTTGTAGGATTTATCTTATGGGATAAATAAATATCAAAGGATATTCCATCCAGGATATTAACCTCCTAATTATCTTTGTGGTAATTAGATGAAAATCAAGAGATATTCATATTAGAATATACTTGGGATTTTCATGGGCTTTTCAGTCTTTGTACACTTTTCCCAACCACTATATAAGGAGGCTTTAGGGAAGAGAGAAAGATATAAGAAACACAAGCTTTTCCATAGTTCAAATATTCTAGTTAGGTTTTAGTGCTATCACTTTCAACTCTAGGTCTTGGGAGACGAAAACCAAGGGGCAACTCGACATACCGTAGCCAACCTGACGACCTGCGAGGTTCTAGACATGCACGGAGGGTCAGAGCAGTTGTTCGTGTTTGTAGGAGCATGTTGAGATTCAAGCTTCCGCATAAAAGGTACACATGTCCTTTCGAATTTATTTATAGTCTTCCAATAGTGGTATTAGAGCCACTCACACACTCTTCACATGAAAGCATGAGATAGATAGATTTATATATATATATATATATATATATATATATATATATGTAAGTATGACAGATTAAGAGTGCGGAAGTAGAATACATATGAGGATGCTAACAATTCAATATATTGGATGATAAAGAAATGAGGCTGATTGAAACGGAATATCCATGGATGACAGATTAAGACATAAATACATAGAATTAAATTGAATATTGGTGATATTTCCATGAAAATAATGAATTAAAATTAATGATGCAGGTAAGTTATGAAAATAAGTTTTTATTAAAACTTACTGTAATTTACAAACTGTTTTTGCCTAATGGCAGATGAAGAACATAAACAACATGGAGCTCGCAGGCATCCTTAATAATATAATTTATAAGTGTTTGATTTTCTACTGAGGTTTTCTTTGTTTTTTTGAATACGCAGAGAATTTTCTTCGACTAAAAGTCCCCGTCTTCTGAGAATGAACTCTCCTTTTATCCTGCTGAAAGGAATGATTGAGGTTGAGTGAAATGAGCCGGGAATCCCGCTTGCAAGTGGTGCTAGCTGTTAAACCTGGCGAAATGATGAAGGTTTACTGTGGATTCACGCTCTTGCTTTTCAAAAAAGTTGGATGAACAGTATTTTGTCTGTTGCTACTGTTGGTGAATAGTAACTTGTCAGGAATCTGAAATGATGACTGCTATTGCTGATGATGCTGTCCTGGATACGATCACATGGGAAATTATTACAATTTTTGAATTTCAAATTTCATATGGGTCTTAGGCATCCGGGTAGTCTGACCATTTGACCGGTTACTGGGACGAGGCATCCGATGAGTCTGAGTCTGAGTCTTCACTTTTGTGGAGCATTGCTGCTTCGGCCATTAGCTGTTGAGCTAAGTCAAGGAGTTGAGACGATTTTGAGGATTTCTCTTTTTTCTTTGAGCTGGATGATTTGGAAGACTTAGTTTTTCCCTTAAGAGAGGACGAATGACTGATATCTGACAATGATTGAACTTGTTCCTGGGATTTTGGGAGCTTAGGAAAATCTGGGTTTTCTAGCAAAGCCTGTGTTGAAGGTGCAGCGATTGGCGGGGCTAGAGCCTAAGGAAATTCTGATTTTACTAAATCTATGATCTTTTGGTGGTTGAATTTGTCCCACCATTTCACCCATCGGGTTTTGTAAATACCACCATTATCTGCTTCAAAATTCCATTTCAATATCCACGGGATTTTGTACTTGGCCATGAATAATGAAAAGAGGGAAACCCTGCTGTCGAAACAACTGCGATCAAATTTGTTCTGGAAGCCAGTGATAAGGGCTTGACGAAGGTCATCTGGAATGAGGTTGACATTCGGGCCATGAGAAGCCCACCATTCTGGAAACCATGCTGGAAATTTTAAATTGAAACCTTTGTCAAAAGTTACAAACCATGAATGACTGAAATCAGTTATCTGATGAAGGAAAATATTAGTCCATGCTTGGATATAATCATAATAACTATAATGATTGTTTGGGATGAGGACATGTTGGGTATGAAGAGGTTTGGTTTGGTAAAGGGGAATTCCCCATTCTTGTTCAGAAAGAAATTTTCCGATGTGGAGGGAATGGTACAATATTTTATTTTCATGGGTGGTGCTAAAAATGGGTTTGATAGCAACGCTTTCTGTCTTAGAGAGAATGGTCTGGTAGTATTTGAGGCTTTTGAAAGGTTCGGTTGGAAGATAATGATAATTTGGGGGGAGGAGACTTTTGACAATGCGTTCTAGCGATTGATGTTTATCAATATGATGTGGGATGCTAAAAAGCCTTTCTGAATTTGGATTTTTGAGATATGGTGAGGTTTTAGCAAAGCTAGTTGTTTTTGGTCTCGAAGGAGATGGAGTTTGTAATGAAGAGTAAGGATCATATTGGGTGGTTAATGCTGTTTGGTAGTTTGGTCGGATATTTCCTATAGTTGATCCTAGGGGAGTGAATCTGTTTGTGATGGCTAAGGCCGATGAGGAATCGGGAATAGATTCCTGTTTTATTGGTGCTGGGGTTAAAGTGGCTGGGAGCCTTCTTTGGTTAGTACCCATTCTTCCCCTGCAAAAATTTTCTGGTTAGAAAACCAGGGATGCAATTCTGGCTACCTTTAATGTACTCAATGTCAAAATAAAAAATGCTTAATATGGCTTGCCAGTGTGCAAAAATCTGTTTTGATGCAATGTTTTGAACATCCTTTTGTAAACCATGTTTAGC